TTGTACTGAGTATTTTAAATACTTGAAGTAAATACTTAAATACAAAAATATACTTGAGTATTTGACTTAAGTATACTAATCTGAACATTGGTACTTGTACTTGCAATTTCAAGTTTTTTAAATTTTACTTGTACTTAATACTTAAAATATCAGTCAAGTATATTTTACTTAAAAGCTTTTGAAAATTTGTACTTAAGACTTTCACGACCACGCGTCACACACATGTGACAAGCAGTTTTTGCCAGGAACTGATGTCACACAAGAGTGACAATGACCCTACAATGATTGAATGCAAATAACTCCCGGGCGGTTCAACGGCGACAGATATGTTTTGGCATCAGTTTCTAGGACTGTTTGGCACACATTTATGTCGCATGGTTTCAGGATTGAATAATCTGTTCCAGTCATAAGCTTGTGGCAGCTGAGGTTCATATCTCGATTCATATCGTCTGCCAACTAGTGCGGATTTCTGTTGTTTCTAGACTCTCCTACTGCAGTTTGACGTTACAAGGTAACACTAACTGGATATTGAACAATAATTATCGCCTATACAGCGTAGCCGAGAGTCTAGAACAGCTAACAGTTTATGTCACACATGTGTGTCGCACGGTTGGCCTTTGTGACAATTGGTAAATTTTAATGGAAAACTTATCGGAAACCGATGTCACATATATGTGACATGAAATGTTAATAGAAAAAAATAGAACAAAACACATATCGTCGCTGTTATTACGAAGTGGCCAATCTCTGATTCAAGAACTTTTCAGGAGAGCGTTTTGAAGAAAACTCTACTGTTCATTTTGTCTGTAGCAGAACTTGTTTTTTTTTATATATATAACACAAAAGTATACTTAGAACATTGAGACATATCTTTTTTGGAAGAAAAGATGGACTTTTTCTGTAGATAAATTATTAAGAAGATGGGCCCGTTCGTAATAACAAAAACAAATGTTTGGCTGTTTGACAAAGCAGATATGCCGCTAAAATTGAATAATGGCCACACGGTGTATTATGGAAATATGCCAGTTTGTCACAACATAGATATGGTTCTTTTGAGTATTTTTATGGGAATAACTCATTTTCGCCAAATATTGAGATAGGCCCCTTCGTACTGACAGCGACGATATAACCTGTAAAAAATATATAATTTCTGTCAAAAGTTATGCTACCCAAAAAAACGCGGTTGGTTTCGAGCATCGTCAAATTTCATAATAGCGGTCGTGAAAATGTTAAAGGGGGTGTGACCCAAAAATGAAAGTTTTAGTGCAAAAGAATCTAAGAAAAATTTTTCAAACCGCATCTTGCTACGATGATCCGTTTTCGAGTTAGGGCTGCTTAAAGTTACAACCAGGCGTTTGTGACGTCACACTGGATTTTCAGGGAAAGTATTAACACGTGTGAGAATTTTCCAAAACAAAAGACAATTATCTCCTAGAGCAAATTGCAACCACTCAAAGTATAGGGTACGGTTCACTAACGACTGAACGACCAGAAGACTGCAATTTCGGCGGTTGTGACATCACAATTTCCTGCATAAATTTCACGAGAGATCTTAGAATTTTTTTCTTGATTCAAGTAGCTTAAGTCGTTTTTTAGGGTCACACCCCCTTTAAGTGATATTAAATTACTTTATGAGTACCAGTGAAATTACTTGAAGTAAATGTTTTAAATTGAAGTATTTTCAAATAGTTCAAAATTTACTTGACGACTAAATGAAGTTTTGTCTATTCATCGCGTGACGTCATAAACACATGCAAAAATTGCGAAACCTATTTAAACTGACGCAGCAATAGGTGTGAGAACGCAAAAACAATACGATAATGTCGATAATAGCTCTGTTTCAACCCACGTGAGCAACGTTCTAGAACGATAATTTTCAGTCGATCAATTCATTTCTGAAGTAGGCTAAACGTTCAACTTAGGTCGGCAACTGGAAATTACTGGTTCTGAAACGGTTCTCATGTCAGTTGGAACAGAGCTAATATATGCAGCAAGAATCAGAAAACACGCTCCGGTGCCGGCTGTCAGACTCAGTTTGTGCATATGACGTCACAGTGCCAGGAATAGGAACTTTATACCACGGTATCTTCGCAACGGTTGGTCGTAGCCTAGTGCGGTTTGAAAATTTGTTGTTGAATTTTTATTTTCTGAATCTTTTATTTTTGGGTCACACCACCTTTAAGATTATCGATAGCAATAATTAAATTTGTTAGTTTAATTCGAGCAATACTTGCAATAAAAAATACTGAAATTATTTTTTAAGTATTTCTACGTAAATGTCATTTGAAGTACGCAAGTTTAGGTAAATACCTACTTAAACTTGACTCTGACTTTCGTGGAATTTGGTACTTGTACTTCAATTTGGACAATTCAAATTAATTTACTTGATATTTTAAGTATTTCCTTTTGTACTTATACTTGAACTGGTACTTGATTCGTATTAAAAAAAAACTTACGTACTTTTTCTTGGTACTCACAACAGCTTTGAAGGAAGGAATTTTTTTTTTTTAACTTTTGAAAGTTTCTTGGGACTTTCGGCAACGTTTCGTCTTTAATTAAGACTTTATCAAGCCCTACAAAGAACAAACAATGAAAAAATATAATCATGGGCAAACCAAAATAAATTTAAATGATTTAAAAAATATAAAAAAACAAAAAGGGTTATTTTTAATTTAAATTTTTTCCCTTACTTAGGGCGGGTCTTATAAAACTACTCTGAGAGTTAACTTAAAGTTAACTCCTGGAATTACATGTAATTGAAAAAGTTAACTTCAAGTTAACTGTCAAAGCAGTTTTATAATACCCGCCCTTAGACGTGAAGGTTTATCCTTGAGATGTCTTCACCAACATTCCAGCAAACTGGGTTCATGTACATGTGCAACCAAAAAGCAAAAAAAAAACAATCAAAGATTGCTATAGTTTTTTAAACGTATGTCTTAGCAATATTTTTCTTTAATTTTGTCAATGAACTTTAATGTCAAAATGTCATGTCAAAAATCCAGACCAATAAAGGAACAATAATGCGACGATTGCGACGTACGTTTTCGTAATCAAAGCAATCTTTGATTGTTTTTTTTTGAAGACTCGATATGATGAATAAATGGATTAGATAGGTAGGTACTAATAAATTACTTCTGCATGCTTCTACTAAAATTACTAAGTACTAAAAGTTGGTTACTTCCAGCGTGATTTTTTTTGAAGCTCTGGCCATTCCCAGTGCAGTTAATTTTTCTTTTGAATTGATGTTACCTCAGAAACAGCCATATAACGAATGTTCTATCAGAAGCACAAATATCCTTTATTTAAAATGTTACAAAATGTATCATTTATGATTTTGCCCGGATTCTCGTCAAATTCTATGTAAGCTTCTGTAATCCTAATACGAATTCGAGTTTTTGACTGACTCACGTCTACGTCAGCCGTCGCAGCACAAACAAGACCTTGTGTATTCGCAAAAAAAAAATGCACGCCAAATTTGTTGTGTATGCTGACCTAAGTCGTCGAAAAGTTGTATTCGTATTAGGAATGCAGAAGCTTGTATAACGTCGACGAGAACTACGGAAAATCAATACATCATGCATTTAAAAATCTGGGATTACTTGACTCTAGTATTATTTTGTGCTCCTGTTAGAAAATTCGTACTATTACTACGACGGGTGCATCAATGGAAAAAATATTTACCCGAACGAATGGCTAGAGCTTCAAACAAAAATATTGACGCTGTATGTTACCATAATTTAGTAGTAATTTCAGTTGAGGTATATGATATACCTATGCAATTAGGTAGGTATAGTATTCCCTATGGCAGATTTTAGTAATTTTTACCTATCTATTTAATTTATTCATGTTGAATGTGAAAAAAATTCTTTGGTGATGGTGACACGATCGATGGGAAGAAACATCACAGAAGAAAAAAATATGAGGATGGATTTTCTCCCTTCGAAGATCTTAGTTGTGTTGTTTTTTCTTTTTTTAATACTTATCACCGGTTTATTCATCTTTGTATAAACTTACTGGTAACTATCAGAAAGATAAATTTACCGTTCTGTGATTCTATTGCTCGGCGGACAGCTGGCCAACCAATGAGATTCCAGATTGCGTTTTCATCCGTCAGATTGAATACCTGACAGGTTATCAGAAGATGAATAAACCGGCCCCTAATGTTTTGTTTATTAGGTGCCCTGTGCCCTGTCTAGACAGTGACACAATAATTATGATTTATTGGTTTAACACATACCTACCTAAATAATTATATAGATTAAGAATTTTTGTACCTACTGTAAAATGGCTTGTCCATAAATAAAATTCCATTCTAACTTGTTTTTTTTCACAACTTTAATTTTTGAATCTGTGTGATGGTGATGTTGAGGACTGTAAGCGTTTTTCACTGATTTAACTGATTGTCTATATGGTACGACTATTGTATTTTTGGACCTTATTTGTAGTATTAGTCTAATTTCTGTAAATGGCTGGTCCGTTAATAAACATTTATTTTATTTATTTATCTATCATCATCACTCGATAACGAGTATTATAAGTATCTTGACAAAATCATTATCTGTGTGTTCTCTAATGGCTAAATAAGCCTATTCTGATCTCACAACTTTCCTCAAATGTATTCTACTCCCAGTCAACGGTAGCCTTCAGGGGTTGTTGTGAACGAGGACTTATCAGACGTTCTCCTTTACTTAGATTCTATTTCTCTTCCGCATCACATTGTTGTTCGATATCCTGCGAGCCTTGATGGTCAGTCCGTCACCCTGCGTAGCCTCCCAGTCACCAATCAGACATGCTTTAACGTTTGTCTTAAGGACATGCTTGTAACTTTTAAATTGCCCTTCCTGGTTGCTTGGGCCATACTCCGGCTGGCTACATAACTAAACTACATACATAATTAAGACTTCGGTAGAATAACTTTTTCCCTGAAAAATGTCGCAAACTCCAGCAACCATGTACAACCATGTGTCACTTTCTAATATAGCTTATTTCTTAATTTTCAGATTGCTGTTGATGAGAATGAAACAATAAACTTTGATAAAACAACTGCTAATTGGGTAACGTTCAATCAAAGTCTATCCAGTACTTTATCAGAATCTATAAGCCAACCTGACACTGATAACAAGGCCTCAGCTCAAACTAGACACTTCAAAACACCAATTCTAGATATTGCCAAGCAATATGGTGCAACTGGCTATTTATTTGTAATGTAAGGGACCTACTAAACCTGCAGCTAAACAAACTGACCAATACATTTCTATATAATAGTCGACCAATAAAAAGAATAGTCTTATGTGCCAGAATTACTTCAGTTCAAATGAAAACTGATTATCATTACTGACTAATTGTTGATGATGGAACATCTGCTATACTCTGCATTGTAAAACAACAAGGAGGTGAACAAAATAATTCAGCAGATAAAGAAGAAATTGATGCGAATCCAACATTAACCAATTCCAAAACAAAAAGTCTTATCAAGCAAATGGAGTTACATGAGAAAAAGTTACGTAACCAAACATTAACCACATTTGACGATAAAAGTCTTGGTGTTCCAGTAATGATTATAGGATTCCTGAATGAATTTGATGGAAAAAATTATATACTTGCCTCAAATATCAGAAGAGTAACAGAAGAATGTTTTATAATTATTTGAATCACGTCATTGAAATTTATGAACAGAAATTACATTTCATGTTTCAATAATTGTTGTTTTTATTATTTGGAATAGGACATGTTTGTTTTTTGCAGATAAGCGAGCTTTGACATCAATATTTTGTGATCCACACAGTCATAAGCATTGGAAAGATTAGAGAATATCATAGCCGTCGCCTCCTTAGTGTCTAGCGGTTTGTAAATATCGAGGTAAATATTATACTTACAGACAAAGCCAGGCTTCAAGACCCATAGGCTTCAAGATGAGGCAAATGGCAACCTGGGATTGGAGACAGGGCTCGTAACGAATGTTCTTTGGCCCTTGATGCCGACATGGCACCTATTTTGTGTAAATACATCATTCCACAATACAAGTATAAATGCAATTTTCCCTGAAGATTTTCCATTTAAAAAGAGAACATTCTCAATTTATTTTTCGTAAAATTCATAAATAAATAATACAACATTGTTTTCTTGAAAAGTGAGCATTATGAGGTTTTGGGTGTCCCTAGAACTTTGACTTGTAGGTATATGAATGTTACTTAAATATGCATTGTTTGACATATTCCGTTGTTTTTTTTTATCAGTTCCAGTTTAACCGGAAATGACCCAACTTACTTATTTCAAATGGGTCACCCAGTATATTTTTGGGTAGATATTAAGTCCAGGAAAATTGTCGATTTTCAAAAAAAAAAAAATCCTACCTAAATGATTTTTTCCGGGACGATAGGGGGCGGATGATCGTAAAACCCAAGATATCGCACATGCACCCCTATGGCGTTTTGCGCTATAGGGGTTGAAAGTGCGCCATTGGCGATTACTTGGTACCTATTGATTAAAAAAAAAAAAAAAATTCAAATAAAAGATGTGCAACATTATTTGGGGTGAACTTTTCAAGGATGGTACGGGCGGGTGGGTGATCATAAAACAGAAGATATCACACATGCACCCCTCCGGGTCCTTATTCTTGAAACAGGGGAGCAGCGTTCCCAGGAGAAGTAGTGTTTTGTCTTTCTCAATGATATAGAATTTATAATATAAGTAACAAAGACAAAATACTTGTTCTCCTGGGAAAGCTGCTCCCCTGTTTCAAGAATAAGGACCCGGAGGGGTGCATGTGTGATATATTCTGTTTTATGATCACCCACCCGCCCGTACCATCCTTGAAAAGTTCATTTGGGTAGGAATTTTTTTTTGCAATGCATGTATTTTTCGACAATTTTCCTAGACTAATTTCAGTTAAAAGTATCTCTGAAAAAAAAAACATTGAATAATTTTTTTCCTATAAGACCATCAACCAGCTGGCAGAGTTAATAGAAAACTAAGACGGCTTGGTTAGAAATTAATTAAAACAATTGTATATTGCCATGGTGAATTTATCAGTTTCCTGAATAATTTAGTTTATTAATTGCGTTTGTCAGATGGAACGAATGTGATTCATTATTAGGCCCAAGTGCAATTTATTGTAAATACATGTAAAGAAAAACCTATAATTACAAAACCGCCAAGCTCAGCAAAGCAAAATTGAGCATTTTTTTTGTTCCTCGACAACTTGATACAAAATTTTCCGTTTTCATGAAGCTCACAGCACTCTAGATTGAATATTAAATTGAAAGATCAAATAAATTGGAAGTCAAAAGTCGAAAATCGGGTTTTATTATATTCGGAATGTAATTTTATCTGGAACTAAGCGAAAATATACCAGGTGACCCATTTAAATTAGGAAGTTAAGGTCATTTCCCGCTAGTGACAATTGAATACATCAAACCATGCATATTTGTGTGACACACTTGAAAAAATTCTCATATCCTATAAATTAAAAGTATGTCCATATGTAGGGAACATTATGGTGGACACAGGATAAACTATCCTAAATTAACAATAAGAATTAATATAAGTTATAGACAAATCCTTGTTCTTGGTTCTGCTAGGAAGACTTCGGGGCCTCCAGTACCACCAATTGTACAGCACTGAAAATAAATGAAATAAAAATAAACACTTTATGTCCTTCGAATTTAGCTTCTGATTCTGGTTAGAACAAACATTATTATTTACTTACACACATGGGAAGTTTTCATCAATATTGCCAGGCTTTTGCATTTACTTCTACACTCTGGAGAGGGTTGTAGGCTTATGGTCCGTTCACCAGAACCCTGCATAACGAAAACATAACTACATTCTGTGTTTGGAAGACTATAGGGGTCACTCGTCGGACTGTCAATGTTGATGAATCTTTCTACAGCTTGCCCAGATCTGAAATATTTTTTTCTATAATTGGTATGAAGAAGATACAAAAAACACATGTTAAATCCTAATTAAAAACAGGTTTTGCACACAGTTATTTTTGTTAAAATAACTTTTTATTGTCCCAAGAAATTTACAATAACCGTAAACGCTGCGTATTAATTTTTGAAACAAAAGTAGGACATAGAAGACCTAATGGGTCATAGATTTGTGCAATAGTACGCTGACAAAAGATTATCCACATAGAAGTCTTTTAAAATAGTTTTATATGCCTCTGGAAATTGCTTATGATTTGAAATTCCTTATTGCTTCGAACACTTTATATAATAAGGGAGCGAAACTAGTGCAGCAAGTAATGGTGCTCAATTGATAAATGGAGAAATTTTTATTGGGGTCAAAAAATTTAATAAAGTGGTCTGTGATCAGGATGCTTTAGAATACAACGAAAATTTTCAAATAAAACTTTCCCAAGAATAAATTTAGGTTAGGTTTATACCTGTATTAACAATATAGTCAAAACAATATTTTGTGAGGTAGGTAAATTTGTACCCACCCTAGTTCCTAGATGAATTTTGCCATCTGAAATTAAATTCCAGAAGATACTTTATTTGCTTTGAAAAATAAGTGTAGAATTTTGCAGCAAAAAAAAATAAATAAAATAAACAACTTAGCAGAAATAAAATTAATAAGTAGGTACCTACCTCTCAGGTAAAAATTCTGGTGCAGGAAATAGTCTTCTTAAGGCAACTGCGTTCATCATCTTGTTGATGCGATAATGGAATTGGAAGTTTTCACTGGAAGACTCCATTGGTTCAATGTTTAAGGCCTCTTGAATGGCAGCCAAAGAAATCTCTGAATGGTTAGACTTGAGGTTAGACTAAAATGGAAATTTTGGTTAGTTTTCAAGACACCAAGCATAACACTAAGTTCGAGAGCGAGCTGGTTAAAGCATCAACAGATTGTTATTGAATGGTGTAGTTGGTGTATTTATTTCTAAAATTGGTAATTCAAAGGAAACAGTTCAAAACACATTAGGGCTTAAGTGAATGAATAGAATAGAATAGTAGCTTTATTTCAAATTAAGTTTTTACAATACATATTACAGCATTACAAAATAACATGAAATGAAATGGCGTCACAAAACAATATACTTCAATTACATATCCAAGTAATTTTTCACACAATAAGGTTCTATGTCTATTAACAATTTCTTGGTTTTATTTTTAAATTCCTTGTAGTTTTCTATTATTTTAAAGTCGTTTGGTAATTTATTAAATATTTTAATACAGTTATAAGATAGATTTTTTTCACTTAAAGTTAATCTATGAATAGGATAATAAATATCTGTGGTCCATGTATTGTATGTGGTGTTAGTGTTATGTATTAAAAATTCATTTTTGTTTTTATGCAAATATAAGAGGCACTCGTGTATGTATAGACCATAAACTGTTAAAATACCCAACTCCCTGAATTTGCCTCTACAGGAGTCTCTGAAACTCATGTTAAGCAATAATCTGATAGTTCGCTTTTGGACTACAAAGACTGATTGTGTTGAAGAACTGACTCCCCAGAAAATGATACCGTACCTCATCCGAGACTCAAAATTTGCATAGTAAAGGATTTTTTTAACTTTGTCTTCTACATATGTGTTTAGTACTCTGAGTGCAAAACAAACACCGTTCAATTTTTTCACTAAACTTTCAATGTGTGTTGACCATTTTAGAAATTCATCAATTATAACACCTAAAAATTTAGTGTGCTCTGATATGTCAATTTCCTGATTATGGATACTTATTGCTGATAGTTTCTCTTTTAGTTTATTAGTGCGAAAAATCACAATGCTTGTCTTGTTCTCGTTCATAACTAGTTCATTTTTCTCAAACCAATCCTCTGCTCGAGAATATAGCTCATTGCTTTTTTCTTCCAAGTCATGCCGATCCCCTTCGGCGACCAGCAGATTGGTGTCATCCGCATAATTTGTTATTGCAGACTCTTCCAATCCGCTGCACACCGAACTCAGATCGTTTATCATGACCAGGAATAGTATCGGCCCTAGTATGCTCCCCTGGGGTACCCCCACCTGATTTTGCAGCCATCCTGATCTAGATGATTTATTGTTCTTATAAATTTCCACACATTGCCAGCGATCTGATAAGTATGAGGTCAGCCAACTCAGAGCTCTTCCCTTTATACCATAATTTTTTAGCTTTTCTTTTAAATAGTTTCTGTTTAGGCAGTCAAAAGCCTTTGATAAGTCGATGAATAGCCCAGCAGCTAATTTATTTTCTTCAAGAAATTTGAGTATATTATATGTAAATTGAAAAATTGCTGTATTTGTCGATTTATCCTTTAGATATGCATGTTGTGATGTGTTTCTTGCGGCCCCTCCGCGACCGCTGACAGAGGCAAAGCGGCAAAATTTTTGGGTGCAAAGCCCTTTTTTTAGGCTTCTTTCCGCTATTTTTGGGACTGTTTATTTTAATTTTGAAGAATTATTTAAAAAAATTAAAGGTCTTGGAGGGGCAAATGCCCCCTTGCCCCCTCTTGTTGATAGGTGATGAAATCTTTGAATTTTCTTACCATGTATTAAACAGTTAAAGGCAAAATTAATAAGAATAAAACATTAAAATAAAATAAAAACAGCTATCGGAACATCACATATTTTTAATAGATACATGTAAAAAAAATGAGACTTCTCCAAAAATCATACAAAAAACAGGGTGTTCCATTTAAAAAACAGCTCATCCATGGGCGCGATTCTTTGGTTTTTGGGTCAAATGATTTTTTTGGTACCATTATTTTTGAGTTCTCCAGAAAAAAAAATGTTCCAACTGGCTATTTTAAATTTTCTCAAAAATACAGCGAAAGTCAGAAATAATCCCCTGTTCAGTCCTCGTTAAATGACCCTGTACTATTAACTAACTGACACACACTGGTTAGTTGATCACTTATACATATCAGGTAGTATATCTCTCCATTTGTTTCAATTATTCTGCAGTATCTCCTAATTATGTCAACATATTTAGCTTGTTCGAAGATGGACTATAGTTTTCATTCTATATTATTCCAATTTTAGGTGATAAGAAATTAATTGTTCTCAGTAAATAAATAAAAACTACTTTTAAATAGCTTGAAATACCTCGGTTTACCGCGCAATACTTCGAATTACCACGAGATACTTCGAATTACCTCGAAATACTTCGAATTACCTCCAAATACTTCGAAGGCAATACCACAAAAAACTAGGTTCGAATTACAACCACCGAAATACTTTGAATTTCGCGAAGTACTTACGAAATACCGACATTTTCGCTCGCATTTTCGCAATATATGTACACATTTTTACAGAGTGGTTGACCCCTCGTTTCAGTCATATCTCTCAGATAGAAAACAAATGGTAAAGTCTTTGAATGGTACCATTGGTACCTCAAAAGCACTGCAAATCTGTCTTGGGTCTAATTTTTTTTCTGCTGTATATTTAATGATCTCATCTGAATAAACATGAGGGAATGAAAATTTTACTTGCAAGGAGCAAGTCAAATACTTATGTTACAGATGAAGCGATTTAGAAATTCTATGAGCTAGGAAACATTTCACCATTTGAAATACTTAGAAGAATGATTTATGCTGTGTGTAAAATCAGTTAAAGTTTAAGGTTTACCTGCACTCTTGCCCTTTCAGTATACTGTGAATCATTAGGTATATTGAATAAAGTTAATTTACTAATTTTTTTATTTTTATAATCAACCATGGACTGATGATAGTATGGGATTGGGGTAATGCGAGGGGTAGTGCTGGTGTGACCACTATGTGGACCACTATGACTAAATTGGAAAAAACCCAAAAATAAATCATAAAAAGAATGTTTTTTAAATGCAGAACCAAGGGCAGAACATATTCCACTCAGCATTAGGTACTATAGGGAGAGCTCAAGGGAAATAACTTATTAACTCCAAATCAACTTTTCATAAATTCAATAATTAGATTTATGTTTAGTAGTTGGAGTTTATAAATAATACTCTTAAAGCCAGCTCAGGGTCAGGGACTCCGTGTCAGGTAGAATTCTACATATCGACACGATTCTATAGACTTGGCACACTGTGTGGCATGCGATATGTTTCGATATGTCGAATTCTACATGGCACGGAGTCCCACCACAGCACTTTCAGCACTGATTGGAGTGTCTGTTAAATATTGTTATAACCTTGGTTATAACTTGATTGTGAATAGATAAGGGATTTTTTAGCGACTAACCGTTTGTAATCGTGTTATAAACGGTTACCTAAAATACATGTATTTTCAGTAACCGTTTATAATGCGGTTACAAAGGGTAAGTCGCTAAAAAATCCCTCTAATAAAGGATTATTAAAAAAAAAAAATTGGTTACCTACCTTGATAATAAATGGAATCCCTTCAGAAACTTTTTCAACAATATTTATTTTTTTTTCCATGCCACTCACATCCAACACACTGTGGACATTTTCACAGGGCCAACATTCCATGTCTGCTAAATGGAAGAATGGATTTTGGAGCAGGCAACTTTCATCGTACAAGTTCGTAAGACTTGGGAAGAGTTTGATGAACGGCAAAAACAGGGTCCTAACCATTTTCAGGGCTGGGTACATTATGCCCTGCACATTACGTAGGACTATACTGGAGGTGGGCGTATGAACGTTCAACAAAACATAAATTGAGAAGCAACTTGCAAAAATAGTCAGCATTATGAGAAAATTAGATTTTTTTCTTATTTTTTTGCTGAGGGATTTTTGAAAGATTTTCCGTATTATTTCATCGTTTAAACCACACTCTTTCGCACTTTTTATTATTGTTTCTAGGTTCTGTTTGTATTCATTCAATAATAAATGATTTTTGTTCATTTTTTCTGTTTTGTTGCTTTGTTATTTGTTTACCCCTTTTACTGACCTAACCTAACCTAAATCCAACGACCTGTCAACGAATAAATTCAAAATTCAATATGGCGTTATAGGTCAAGCAACTCAAACTTCTGTGATGCGTGTTCCAAAAATCCTACTCATGGTGTTTCATAAACTCGTGTTCTCTGCTTTTTTGCGGCTTCTGATTGGCAAGTATCTATTTTTTAGAAAATGCCTGGCAGTATGTATTGTAGTTGGTTGTGATAGCTGGATGCCGTTCCAATGGCGATAAATCAGCTAACTTGCAGCGTAAAGCAGTTGAGGACAGGACAATTAGGGCGGGTATTATAAAACTGCTTTGACAGTTAACTTGAAGTTAACTTTTTGAATTACATGTAATTCTAGAAGTTAACTTTAAGTTAACTCTCAAAGTAGTTTTATAATACCCGCCCTTATTAAGATACAGACGACAGTGCAGGGGCGAGTTCAGGAATGACACAGTCAGTGTGAGTGTGACACCGGTGCGACGCACTAGCCGTTCATAAATGCTATAGGCACACCGAGTGCGCGCACTCCAGGTGTCGCACCGGTCACACCATAGGCGTTTTCTCGCGGGGCGAATGGTTCGAACTACGGTTTAAACCAATTTGTAGATGACGTCATCACTTGTGAACGCGAGAAAATGGAAGGTTTGAACCACAGTCTTATGTCAACGGAGAACAAGCCATGAGTCCGGTTCGAACTTTTTTGAACCAGGTTCAATGTGACGTCACTGGTTCAACGCAAGAATGTACAGGTTCGAACCTAATTGAACCGGGTCGAACCAGTTCCACCGCGAGAAAACAGGTCATAATTTTTTGGTGTGGCTGCGGTGTGATTGTGTCTTTATGTCAACAATGTCAACCATTCCGCCCATAATCTCAATAATCCCACCAAATATAAACAAAACACAAATAAGAATTAAAGTTTTTCCTACAAATTAAAAAAATGAACAACAAAAAAAAGTAATCCTAATAGATTTTGTGAAATTTTTGAAGAGATGCTCGATTGGTCACACCAAGCGTTCAGAAATTAATACGAAAGTTGTCGCCTAAGAATTGTCATTTCAGTCACACCCATAAAATCGCACTCACACCCGGTGTGTTATTTCTGAACTCGCCCCAGTTGTACAATCCGCGTGTGACTAAATTCACCAAAATGTGCAATGTCACGGATGCGGCGATTTATCGCCTGTTCACACAGCAATCACAGATCAGTCAGACCACATTTCGTTGGTTGAAAACAGTCAGAAACAGTCAGAATACTAGTTTTAACCAATGAAATTCACTCCGACTGGTTTGTGTTTTCTGTGCGAACAGACCTAAATGATTTCCTAATGCATGCTGATACCAAACCCTGCAACACTGCTTTGTCTACCATTCCACCACGGTGCCTACACCGGCTGAATTCTAGCCACACGCGGTTTATGGTATAGGAACTACCAAGAGCGAACGCAGGGTATTGGTAGAATCCGTGTCCTATCCGTTCAGAAACAGTCAATTTTAGAAATGCGATCGAAATCACCCTGGGCGTCACACCGAGTGCACACCAGCTGTAATTATTAATGGCTGGTGTGCACTCGGTGTGACACCCAGGGTGATTTCGAACGCACTCTAGAAATTGTCAATTATCCTCTGTCAATTATAGCGTATTTCATTGGTAGAGCAAGTGCAACACTGGTGCAATATTCGTGATCCATTGGCAGAGTCGCCCTGCACTTTTGTATTTCATTGGGAGAGCAATGCACAGAGTTTTGTACCGAGTGCTGCTAGTGCGCCACCGGCTAAAAAGCTCGTGTCGCACTCAGTGCAGTTGTTTATTGTTACTTTTGAAATTGAGGTTATTGGTGGTTGATGATGTTTCATAAAAAAACAGTCCTAAATGGTATTTTTTTATTGTGTTTTTTATATTTGTCTGCGAATCTACTACCAAAAATGTCAAAAATCGCTTGTTGAAGGCAATTGCCTTGATAGAAAATAGCAGCAGCAGTGAAACCTGTGAATATGAAGAATATTTAGAGCTTCTAGCTGAGAGGCAAAAACTTTTTTCTAAATTAAATTATAATAATTATTTATAATAAACACAAGTATAATCTTTTTAATGAAATTCTATATTTGAGGTTTGACGTATATAGGATGGTGCAGTACGATGATGTTTCATTGGGACTGCACGAGAGCAGTTTTTTTTAAAGTGTCAGTGCAAAACTGGTGTTGCACTTGCTTTACCAATGAAATACGCTATTAGTGTCAATTGATTTTTGAAATCACCTTTTATAACCCCAACCACAAACCAGCTGTTTGTTATTTGTGTTGTTTGGAAAAACAAGCAAAGCAGAAATTAAAATATAAAAATATATTACAGGAGAATATTGAATTTTTTGTAAAACAAATTTATAAAAACATCATAAACCATGGTTGGTTGTGTTCCTTGTTTTGTCATACCGCTCCTGCTCTTTATTTTCCATCGCTACATCCAACCATTTTTACTACTTTTTTGGAATCCTTGGGCAAATAAAACCTCAAATGATGGGAAAAATGGGGGTACCAAGGAAAAATGCGAATTTAGTTGTGAATGTGCCTGGAGCAAGAAAAAATCGGATGAAATTGAAAAGGATCAGGAAGAAAGGGATGATGCTAGTAATTTACATGGAACTCAGGAGAAAGTGAAAAGTCAGTAAATTCTTATTAGCTGATTTTTGACTCGCTTAAATTAATGTGTTTTCCTTTTTAGACATTATACTTTATATGTTATATATATTTGTTTATTTAATACCTAACTGCTGTATTTTGTAATTGTAATCATAATGTGTAGTTAAATTATAGAGCTAAATAAACAAACTTACATGGAAGTTGAATTTTCGTCTATGGAATTTTCCATGTCTGCAGTAAATAGGTACCTATCTCAGACTCCAGACCTTAGTACCCCTATACAAAGTAATTAGGTACCTACTTACAATGGTAATTTATTAAAAATTTATTTAGCTGATACAAACTTGATAAAAATGAAATTTCAAAGGAAATTAAAAGGGGTTTGTAAATCACCACAAATAATTTTATTTTTTTGTTTTCCTTTCAAAATTGGACCAAGGTTTTATAAGTAGTAAAAGATGTAAATAAGTATTAGCGTTGATTGAAGGAGGTTATAATCTTGTTAACGACTACGAGAAAATTAACTCACAACCACAGCCTGAATCGCAAGCATCCCATCCAGGCCTGCGGGTGACGTCACCACTATGAGCTGCTGATAGTGGTGACGTCACTCGCAGGACCTGCCGACTCAAGAATTTGGCGAACGGACGCCTATGAGGATGAGCAATCCTATCTCCAAGAGCTGCTTTCGGGTGCCACCCTTTGAGCGGTCTCGAGTTACTCGAAAGTACGTATTCCGGCGACCCGTTCGGTTTCAAGCGTTCGAGTGCAAAACGCATGGAGTGTGTGTGAAGTGTTCTTAGAGCTTTGCACACTGCACCCGAAAGCCGCTCATGCCTAGTAGTTCAAGTCTCAATGCACCCTATGCCAAAGTACCAGTGATGATGTAGCCAGCGTGTCGTTTTCGCCTTGATGTTAGGTGCTGCTGGTTGCCCCACAGGCTGGCTGTTGCTTTATGTATACATGATTTTAGTACATTAATTACAAGGATGATACACACCACTTCTACAGGATAGCCTATCCTCATAAAGCCTGTGTGTAGTAAAATAAATATATAATTTTTTTCGATAAGTCAGTGTGCGGTTAAAAGCCAGACAGTAGCTGTTCGGGCAATCGGGGCGTAAATCAGAATCGTATATTGTAGTAGCACAGATGACCTAATACAGATGCGAAAGTACGTATTCTTGCCGTCGACGATATTCTGTGACGAAGCCGCGGAGCCAGCTCCCCTCCGCATAGATACAGATCGCCCGCGTCAGGACAATTAACGTGGCCGAGTGCGTGAGCATGTTCCAGCCTGTGTGTTTACATATTTTTGCGGGTAAAAAAGAATATTTTTTTGCTGTTTGTGAACCAATTAAAGAAATAATATTATATTATTGAGCTTCCGCATTTATATAATAAATATGTTCAAAATACATTGATGCGGTATTGGTGCGGCCAGCTTATGTCCATCAAATTAATTTTGAACCGCGAATTCGCTGCTCTTTCGCATCTGTATGTACGTAATCTGTGGTAGTAGGTTGGTTTGTTTTTTTTGTAGCACGAACTTGAACTGAGCGCAAATTATTTCGGGTTTGTGGCGTCATCAGTCAAAGTAATAACTGCTTAGTACTCATAACTGCGAAATTCGCACTTTTTATACATTGCTTCGACAAATTGACGTTTGAATCACTCATTAGACGTCAATTTGTCCAAGCAATGTCAAAAAAGTGCGAATTTCGCAGTTATGAGTACTAGGCTTGAACGAAAAATATTTTGACACGAACGGATTTTTTTATTATATAATTTTTAATTTGTGAGGGAGATTATTATTATTTATATTCCGAAATCGAATTTCTTTTATCAAGTGATGAATAGATAGTGGAGAGGACTGTGACGTTGCAGGCAGCGCCCCAAAGCAGGAAGTGCTGCGGCTCTGAACAACACAAACAAACAAACCTTGTGTGTTCGCCGTTTGGTGGAAAAGCGGATGTCACGAACTGATGTGGGTTCTATATTCGAACATAAATGTTGCACCAATCGGAAATACTGAAATACTACAGTCGACCATTTAAGTAGAGTATTTCTGTTTGTAAAAGCACTAATCGCGCGAAAAAACCGGAGCGTATAAGCACTTTCAGTGTCAACAAAATTCGCCTTTGGCTTGTTTCAATTCTGTCCTTTGCTTCGGCACTCTGCAGTTATTTAACCCCAAACTTGGCAGTCGGCAATATGGTGCCAAAATTGATGACAGAAATAAATCATGCGAACAGTTCAGAACCCCTTGTCGAAACAAAGAAACTGGCTCAGTTCAATAATTCAGAACTGATTCGAAAAAACGTATGACCGATGCCCGCTGTTTTCTTCTTCGAAACCCGGATGAAACAGAACGCACTGCGAGTGTGATCATGAACACGCCCTAACCTCAATTCGAACAGATCGGAACGGAAAAAGACTTTTTTGGCCGGGCGCTTGAATGTCAAAGCGCACTCGTATGTCTGCGTCTGCCCACTCAAATTAGGAAAAGAAGAGGAAAGACTTTGTAGGTTAGCAAGATGTCTCTTGTTTATGTTTATAAACAAAACAAAAATACTTTTTGAAAAATACCTATTATTATTGAACAAAAATAAACTCCAAATGATTAGCGGCTAGCCGAAAACCTAAAGTTGCTGGTCGAATACTATTTCTGATAGATTCGACTACGACTTCTATTGAAAATGATGGGAAAAAAGAAAGTAATTTACCTATAATGAGTATTTATTTAGAAACAAATGCACAAAATTCCTTTTAGAGTGGCAGCAGCGGTACAGAATCCAGTTCAGAGAGTACATCAGGAACTACTACAACCACTTCATCTTCAAGTGGATCTGGAACTGGTTCAAGTTCTTCCAGTGATTCAGATTCTTCTAGTTCACAGGAATCTTCCAAAAATTCCGATTCTGAAAAGAAAATTGCCGCAGTTCAGGTAGAAGCTGTTTTTTTTTTTTATCAAGGTGGATTTAGCCAGTCCTTACACATAATTTCTAATCTTTGAGGCTTTATAGAACCAAATATTTTATGCAGGTATTTCACCTAGAAACAGGAAGAAATAAGCTTTCACTGAACAATTACAATTATGCCATTCAAACAGTGTAAATCGGGCCTAATGGAAATTTTATCCTACTCACATGCATTAAAATGAAGAAGTTGCATAAAATTTTATTTTGATGGAAAATTTATTTAAAGTGAAGCAAAATACTCTAGAAGTATATTTCCATATTCAAATCCTCTTTATACTGAACCACTAATAAATAATAGGGCAATCCAACGACCTGTCAAAAAGAAATTCAAAATGGAGGTCAATGCCTTTTTATTTGGAAAAAATGCTGTTTTATTGCGATTTTTGATTTGTATGAAGTCTGTAAAGTATTGATTTTTTGGAAAAGGACACCGATGGTCGGAAGTGCGTCGTTTCCAAAATACAGGGTGTTGAAATTTAAACAACCCCCTTTCATATCATCTGAAGGGCTAATGCTAGGCTGTTCAAATTTCCCGGGATTATTGATGTAGGAATGATATTTAAAAATTCGTATAATGCACCCCCATTTGTTAGTGTGAAGTTATCCATAAAATCTCAGCCATAAAACTATCGAATCGCGGTTAGGCCTACTTTTTACTATACCGGCCGGATTCTCAGATATTGTAAGGGCTGTTTGTGCCATATTAGAAATAGCTATACATTTTAGCTACTACTCCTAGCAATCAATAAAAATTAATTTTGTGTAATGCCCCGCCGTCTGAGTGTATCAAAAAAATTAAAATCCCTAAGAAAGGCGTGATTTTTGTCAATTTTCGATTGTAGTCTCTACACGGTTGCTTGTGCCGCGTCGAAAATAGCTACACATTTTAGCTACCACTCATAGCAATCAAGAAAAATTAGTTTTGTGTAATGCCCCGCCGTCTGAGTGTCTCAAAAAAATGAAAAACCCTAAAAAAGTCGTGATTTTTGTCAATTTTTGATTGCAGTCTCTACACGGTTGCTTGTGCCGTTTCAAAAATAGCTACATATTTTAGCTACCACTCCTAACAATCAAGAAAAATTAGTTTTGTGTAATGCCTTGCAGTCTGAGTGTCTCAAAAAAATTAAAAACCCTAAAAAAGTCGTGATTTTTGTCAATTTTCGATTGTAGTCTCTACACGGTTGCTTGTGCCGCTTCGAAAATAGCTACATATTTTAGCTACCACTCCTAACAATCAAGAAAAATTAGTTTTGTGTAATGCCCCGCCATCTGAGTGTCTCAAAAAAATGAAAAACCCTAAAAAAGTCGTGATTTTTGTCAATTTTTGATTGCAGTCTCTACACGGTTGCTTGTGCCGCTTCGAAAATAGCTACATATTTCAGCTACCACTCCTAACAATCAAGAAAAATTAGTTTTGTGTAATGCCTTGCCGTCTAAGTGTCTCAAAAAAATTAAAAACCCTAAAAAAGTCGTGATTTTTGTCAATTTTCGAATGTAGTCTCTACACGGTTGCTTGTGCCGCTTCGAAAATAGCTACACATGTTAGCTACCACTTCTAGAAATCAAGAAAAATTTGTTTTGTGTAATGCCCCGCCGTCTGAGTGTCTCAAAAAAATTAGAAATCCTAAAAAAGTCGTGATTTTTGTTAATTTTCGATTGTAGTCTCTACACTCAGACGGCGGGGCAATACACAAAACTAATTTTTGTTTATTGCTAGGAGTAGTAGCTATCATTCATAGTTATTTTCAATATAGCACAAACAGCCCCCAGATTTTATTTATGAGATTTATGAGATTCCGTGAGAATCCGTCCGGTATACTTAAAAGTAGGCCTAACCGCGATTCGTTAGTTTTATGGTTGAGATTTTATGGATGGAGCCAAAAAAAAAAAAATTGAAGAAAAAAGCAGTTTGTTTAAATTTTTTTTTGGGGGTGGTTCCAGGTAGAAAATGGGGGTGCATAACACGAATTTTCAAGTATCATTCCTACATCAATAATCCCTGAAAATTTGAACAGCCTAGCATTAGCCCTCCAGATGATATGAAAGGGAGTTGTTTAAATTTCAACACCCTGTATTTTGGAAACGACGCACTTCCGACCATCGGTGTCCTATCTCAAACTACTTCTCTATGGTTCCTCTATATACACTGGCATTTTTGACCAGTTGAACGGGGACACCCTGTATACTTAATACAGTATCACCTATTTTGAATGCGCGCTCGCGCTTTATCACGCTATATTTCGGAAACGGTTGGTCGTACAAAAAATGCTTAATAAACAATTTTGTAGAAAATGCTATTCTACATAAGTTTTGACGTCAGATGCACTGGAACCGAGATTTTCGTGACCTTTGACCTTCGATATCTCAAGACGCACGAGGGTAGGCATATTCGATGTTTTTGTGCCTCATCAGTACATCAAAACGAAGCTCTCTGCAAAAAAAGCAGCTTGTTCGGCCTCATTTCGCAGAGGAAGTCTAATTTCCCTTGGGTATAAGGGCTTCACGGATTGTAGCAAAAAAGAAAAAATCTGACGAAATCAATATTTAAAAACCAAAAAGTCTCTCTACATAAACGGTATGGATCCAAAGCCATTTTGATTTAATTACTATCCTCCACATCAACTTGTGTCGATACCTTGAATAGCAGACAAAAAACTCTCCATCTTGAAATACGAAAATTATCCTTCCAAGCACTAGAAAAACACCACAAAATACACAAAAAACAGTTTTTTGATGAAAAATGTCACAGTTGTTTAAATTAAATTTATGGCGCCAAGTTTTTGGCATTGGCCTCCATTTTGTTTAGATTGCCCTAATAATTATTCAAATATTGAATATAACAAAGGGTGCGAAAACGCTTTCAAATTGGTCATGACGTCATGGAACGGTAAACAAACAAAAGTGTGGTTATCTTAACGTGATACGTGAGCCATCAGACGCTTGTGTTTACATCGAATTCTACCGGTGGATCCACCATTTTATGTCGGTCATTGTCATTTTCCAATCACTAAAAAAAGATACCCCTCGTTTTTATTCTAATCGACGACTTCACCGATGAGTTGGCTATCTTTGTTTAGTGAATGAAAAATGACAATGATCGACATAGTCGTATAAACCAATAACATAAAACACAATTGACAATGGGTAAGAGAGAGAGGCAGTACAGAGACTCGTTTTGACGGATACCGTCTTGTGACGTCATTGATTTACGACTGCGTTTTGGCGCGAAGAGAGTTATTTTGAATTTCTATATTTTTTTACAGAAAAACTATTGGTTGAAAATTTAAAATTTATGTGGCAAGTGACTTTTTACAATGTGAAAAATTTAATAAGAGAATAAAAAAAAAGCTACAAATTCCTCATTGTGGAATTTTTTGACAGGAAATTAGGAAATATATTTCTTGTAACATTCCCCTCTTGGAACTTACCCTGGCTTACAGTGACTCAATAAACCACAGTGTCAAACGCCATTCTATTTTTGATTGAAAATGAGCAAAGATATGGCGGCGGAGGCGTAGCTTACTTCTAGATTCCTGTTTAAAATTAGCAAGAATATGGCGGCGGAACCTCTATCGCCAATATATGAAAAGGTTTATTGAGTCACTGTAGCCTGACCCTGCTAGCTAAAGCTTCAGTACTAAACTACAGTGGTGACAATTGCCATCCTATTTTTGATTTGTTCTTTAAAGTCCTATATATTCATATTGAAAACGCTGCCATATTTTTCCTAACTTATTGCTGATTTTAAATATGAATATAGGATTTAAATGGAGATACATCATAACAAATTGAAAACAGCGTATTTGATGTACCTTATAATAGTCATCAATTATGTTGTTTTCATTTTTTTATAATAGATGTCCAATAAAATCCTATATATGCATATTTAAAATTAGCAAGAAGTAAGGACCAATATGGCGGCGGAACCTCTATTGTCACTAGCTGGACGCGGTTTCTGTGTTCTGTTGCTTTCTACATGTCGAATTCTAGTGTCAATTTCTACATTTAATATGAGGGAAAATCGTGTAGAAAATGGTACACGTAATACGAAATATCGAACGCGACATGTCGCTATAGAATTCGACAGTGCACCGAATCCGCCCCCTTTGGAAAAAATTAGTCAGTTAACAACCTGGAAGCAGTTGGTTACAGGTTACAGTTGTTACAGTGATTTCACTTAGTATAGTAGTAGCCAAATTAAAATTGAAGCCAAATAAGTTGCTTTTCCGATACCTAGTGTCTTTTTTTAGGTTTTTGAAAAAAAAAAATGAAGAGAAAAATAAAGAAGGTAAAATAATTAATTTTTAAGTGACAAAACTAGAAATTATTTTCTATGAATCAGCCTATCTTAAAGTGCCTCAGGCATAAGTTCTTGAATAAGTACCTACTATTTGGTATTCATCCATTAAATAGGTACATACTAAAATTATGTATTGAGATCTGGCTAAATTGGCCCTAGCAATTAGCAATATTTCATAAATAATTATAAGACTCTTATTTTAGAAAGCCCCTAGAAAAAGCATAGACAGTTCAAAACAATCCTCTACTGCAAAAACTGATGCAAAACCAACAGCAAAATCTAAAACTCAACAGTCAAAACCAGGCGCAAGGCCGGCACCTCCAAAATCCGTTGCCTATAGCACTGATGATGATTATGAGAAAGTTCCAAAACCAATTAAACGCAAAAGCAATGTCAAACCAAAAGCCAGTGCCACCCTGACACCAAAGCCAACGGCTTCAGCATCTCAGAAGATTGCCAACCACAAACAAGCTGGAAAAGTAAATACATCAGGTGGCAAAGCGCCACCTAAAACGAAAGAACCACTGAAACCTAGATTAACACAAAGAAATGCCTCGAGCGCAAAGATAGTCGATTCAAAAAAGAAAAGTATTTTTTCACCAGAAAATAGTTCGGATTCCGACATGGTGAATTCAAAATTTGCAAAAACATCATCAAAGTCGAAATATAAACCTGAGCCCAGACCTAAGGCCGCAGCTAAACCAGTAGAAAAACCTAGACTTATTGAGAAGAAGGTATCAGAGAAACGAGCTCCAGCAAAGAAAGATTCTATGGAAACTTCTGGTAGTTCGGACACATCTTCTACTGGTTCTACCAGTAGTAGTGAAAGTGACTCTAGTGCAGAGGAATCGGAAAAAGAAAGAAAACCTGTTAAAAAACCTGTCAAAAAACCCACAGTTGTTCAAAAACGAAACATAGCAGCATCAGATTCTGAACCAGAGCCCAATAAAACGAAACAAGCTCCCAGGAAACTAACTCGTTCAGCCAGCACCCGCAAATCCAAACACGTCCTTGGGAAAACTGTTTATTCTGATACAGATTCAGACACTGAAAGCACCAAAAGGTCGCTGAGTAGATCTCCAGTGAAAAGAGCACCAAAAGGAAAGTCAAAAAATAACAGAAAAAATGATGCCAAAACTAAAATTAATGAAATTATTGAAATTGAAAGATGTTGCCCATTAGAGGGTTGTGATAGCATTGGACATTTAAGTGGAAAATTTGAAAAACATTTCACTCTGGAAGGGTGTCCAATGTATCATAATATTACAGTAAGTAAAATAAATAATAAGTTTATTAACGGACAAGCCATTTACAGTAAATAATATAGGTAACAAAGATACATAACATTTTTTTTCTTTAGTAGGTAAATAATTCGTAGTATTGTTCAAAATTATATGCATACATGCACAATGCACATAACAAGCTATATTATTAAAAGAAGAAGACAACAATTTTCACTTTAACATATACGGTACACATAATACAATATGACATTAGCGCTGCAGACCATCTAACTGTTTACAAGTTTTCAGAGACATGTCAAAAAATCAAAATTGTTGGGTAGCTGTCGTAGCTGATTAGCTTCTCTGCATATTCTAGCCATAGGGCAGAAAAAACCATAATTAGTTCTATGATACTCAGAATGAAAAAGATGCACTTGCCTAGTCTGTCTTATAGGGGCACGCAGGGAAATGCTGTTTAACAAGGAGGGGCAGTCAATTAAGGTATTAAGCAACTTAAAAAATAAGCAAATATCATAATTCCTTCTACGTGCCTCTAAACTAGAAAGACTCGGCAACCTCAGCAAGTCATTGTAGCAAACTTCTTCTGATGGTATATGCATCTTATAGGCAATATGCCTTAGAAAGCGTTTCTGAATTCTTTCAATATAATTTATATGGGTTGACCGAATTGGGGCAGCATATTCCAATCTCACTACAGAACAGTAAACACTCTTTATGGTAAAAATATTATTGAAATCTTTTAGGGTGCGAAATACTAATCCCAAAAGTTTCATTGCCCTATTACAAATATTCTCAATATGCAAATTAAATGTTAGTCCCTGTCTAAACGTAACTCCCAAATCCTTAATAGAGTCCACCCTTTCAACTACTTGATCATTCAATTTATATTCATAAATAATTGATGCATGAGATTTAGAGAAGGTTATGGTTTTCATCATCATCATCTTCATAGGCAGCCCAGTTGCATCCACTCCTGAACATAGGCCTCCCGTTCCAATTTTCATCTCTGACGGTTTGTGCAATGTGTTGCCATCCTCGCCCTGCCCTCCAGTTAATGTCATCCCTCGTGTCATCCATCCACCTCTTTTGGGGTCTCCCGTTGCCGCGTCTGTGTGTTCTTGGTCTCCACTGAATCACTATTTTTGTCCATCTGTTGTTCGGTTGCCTCGCCAGGTGGCCTGCCCATCTCCACTTTGCTTCTGCTATGCATTGGATCACATCGTTCACACCCGTGCGTCGACGTATGTCGTAGTTGTTTATCTTGTCTCTCAGACTAATGCCTAGCATTGCGCATTCTATGCCCCTCTGAGTGACTCTGAGTTTGTTTGCACTTTTTATGGTTAGTGTCATGGCTTCCAGGCCGTATGTCAGTACAGGGAGTATGCACATGTCATGCACTTTTCTTTTCAAGTTTATAGGAATATCTGGATTTTTCAGGATAAACCGCAACCTTCTAAATGCTGCCCAGGTCATGCTCACTCTTCTGGTAATTTCAGCCTGTTGGTTCTCTTTCCCAAGCTTGATCTGGTGCCCCAGATAGACGTATTCGTCCATTCTTTCTATTTCTTGGCTTTCGATGGTGAGTAGGTCCGCCCCACTCAAACTCATGAATTTGGTTTTTGCGGTGTTCATCTCTAGTTCCACCTCCTGCGATGCTTGCTTCAGTTGCTGTATCATTTCTTTTAGCTCATCGAGTGTGTTGCCGATTAGGACGATGTCGTCGGAGAACCTTTAGATGGTTTAGATATTTGCCATCCACATTCACGCCTTTGTTTTCCCATGATAGAGTTTTAAATATATCTTCCATAGCTAGGGTGAAAAGCTTGGGAGAACTGGTGTCGCCCTGTCTTAGGCCTCTTCTTATGCGTATTTTGTCCGTGATCATGTCGCTTTCGATCTTTACTTGGAATGTGGCGTTCTCGTAGATGTGTTTCAACAGGTTTATGTATCTTGAGTCAATCCGTGCGTTTTCCATTGCTTTAAATATTGCGCATAGGTGTATGGAATCAAAGGCCTTGCTGTAGTCTACAAAAGCCATATGTAGTGGGACGTTGTATTCAGTGCATTTTTCTATAAGTATGTGAATTGTTTGAAAGTGATCTGTGGTGCTATATTCCTTCCGGAAACCTGCCTGTTCCTCTGGCTGATAGGAGTTTATTTTTGATGTTTGTGGAGTATGACGACCTATGCGTTGTTCTATGATTGGGGGATTTGACTTGTCTCAACTCGTCTGTTTAGAAGAGACTGTACTGCTTTTAGCGCGTTTTCTCCTCATAGTCTTAACATTTCTGTTGTTATTCCGTCCTCCCCAGGAGCTCTTCCAGATTTAAGTTGTGAGAGTGCAAGTGTTATCCCTGAGATGGTAATTTCTAGTATGTCTTCAGAACCTGCATTCTTTATGTTCATGTTTTGTTCAACATCTTGGTTGTGATGTGGCGCTGAGTAGAGTTCCTTATAGTACCCTTGGATGATTGTTATGATCTTTGTTCTTTCGTGTTGTATGTTTCCATCCCTATCCTTCAATTGGTGGATTCTTATTTTGCCTTTTCGTTGTGACTGCTTAGGGATCTTCATGCTTTTGTTGTTTTCTATGACCTCTTTTATTTTTTCGGTGTTGTATCTTCTTAGGTATTGTCTTATTTTCTTTGAGATGTTTTTATTTATTTCGGTGTATTCAGGTGAATCTCTGTCACAGATTACCTAATACAGATACGAAAGTACGTATACTTGTCGTCGACGATATTCTGTGACGAAGCCGGGCCGCCAGCGCCCCGACGCATAGATAAAGATCGCCCGCGTCAGGACAATTAACGTGGCCGAGTGCGTGAGCATGTTCCAGCCTGTGTGTTTACATATTTTTGCGGGTAGAAAAAAATATTTTTTTGCTGTTTGTGAACCAATTAAAGAAATAATATCATATTATTGAGCTTCCGCATTTATATAATAAATATGTTCAAAATACATTGATGTGGCATTGGTGCGGCCAGCCTATGTCTATCAAATTAATCTTGAACCACGAATTCGCAGCTCTTTCGCATCTGTATGTAAGTAATCTGTGTCTCTGTGCAGACTTCTTCTCGCTATCATCTTGCGAGTATCCGGCTTGAGCTTTGAATTAATTTTTTGATGTCTGTATGCATGTCACTTTTGATCTTTTCTGCTAAGCAGTCGATAGTGGCATTGCTGGGTTCTGTCGAGAGTTTTTTGTCCAGCTCCCTCTTGTATGTCTCCTCGTTTTGTTTTAGTTCGACTAGGGTAGGGTAGGGGTTATTCTTCATGAGTTTACTTCTTTCGGCTTTAAATTTAATTTGACTGTTGCCCTTACTAGTCGGTGATCGCTATTCGTGTCGAATTTATTAAGTACCGAGACTTCAGTTACTATGTATTTATTGTTAGTGAGCATAGTCGATTTCGTTTTTGTTTGCTAAATTCGGGCTTCGCCACGTCCATCTTCTACTTACGGGTTTTTTGAAGAAGGAATTCATACAGAATAGATTTTCGCTTTGTAGAAAGTTGATTAATGTTTCTCCCCGCGAGTTGCGTTCACCTATTCCAAATTTTCCGACTTGTGGAATTCGTAAATCTTTCAGATCGCCTATCTTGGCGTTGAAGTCGCCAGTGATAAAAGTGTATTGCGTCTTTTCTAACTTAATTGCTGTTCTTAGGTCTTCTTAGAGCTGCTCGATCTCTTCATCTGGTGCTGTACTTGTTGGTGCGTATACGTGCATTACCTGAAGCTTGTATCTTGATGAAAGTTTTAAGGTGATGTAAATAACTCTTTCTGATATTGCTTTCATTTTCGTAACCAAGTGTTCGACGCTATTATTAATCAGAAGTGCTACCCCTTCTATGTGTGAGTTAGTTGATTTATTGTTTTGATACATAACATGACCTGATTTAAATGTGGTGCATTATTCGTTTCGTCGTCTGGTTTCGCAGAGACCCAGAATGTCCCATTTTATTTTCGAGAGCTCCTCTTCCAGTTCAAAAAATGGTTTCACATTTATTCAAATTGAGGATTAGGTCCTTCAGGTGACACCACAGAGCAAAACAATTCGGGTCTAGTTGTAACTGCTTACAGCCTGATATGAACCTAACAGGCCTATTCAACTTAAAATTGTCCACATATAACCTGCCACTGTAATGGATAAACTCTTCAACATCATTAAGGTTGCAATTAAATAGTAAGGGCGAAAGATGTCCTGCTTGAGAAACACCAGATACAGATAAAATTAAATTGAAAAAAAGGGTCAATAAAGTTTGTGAGGCTTTCGCGGCCCAGGTTTATTGATAAGGTGTTTTCATTCCGGCTTAATGGCTGTCGTAAGGAAGAAATTCCAACTTACGACGGCCATAAGGCCCGAATGAAAACACCTTATCAAAAAAGGTCAGTGTTGCAAACATTTAATGTATAGCCGAAGTTCAAAAATTGCCCCACATCACATTTGGAAGTTTTTCTCATAAACAGTTTCATGCCCTAATTTGCAATTTGGTAGGTACCTAGAGGAAGGTGAGGAACAGATTGAACAGATTATACTCACATTTTGAGCCAATCTCTCAAAAAGTAAAAGCTAGACAGGATGTCCTTGCATTCCAGTTAAATATAGTTGATTCTCTATAACATGAATGCAACATGGACACACATGTTTGTCTGGCTTACTGCCCCGTCATCTCCTTGAACTTCGCAAAAATTCCACCTATGCAGTACTTAATGTTTTTTTTTTCTTTTGGTAGGATTTGTGGTTAATAAAACCCGACTGGCCAACGATTCGAATAATATAATTTCTTTTCCAAGGCCAGTCAAAATAGGCCTTATTTAACATAAATTATGTAAAACTCGACTAACATACCAAAATACAGAACAACTGTTTTTGTATCGTATCTCGGGTGACGGGTAAGTGTTGTTTAACTTGAAGAGGTCTAATCTGTGTTCGCAATGCGGTCATGTTTTCATGCACTTACTTATGTTAGTCTAGTTTTACCTGATTTATGTGACAAATAATGCATCTTTTGATTCAGGTTTTGATTAGTCTTGGAAACGAAAAGATATTATTGAAAATTGGGTAACTTACTATTGGTTTTCATCAATCACAGATCCTAGGTGAAAAAGACAAATTGCTACTCAAAAACAGATCATAAAACAATTTTTTAAGTTCTGCTTATAGTCTGGTTTATTGAATCCTCGATTGAATCACCAAGATTCGATAAAAATGAGAAACAGAAAATTTAATCATTTATTGCATGCAAAGGTATTGCTACCCTATTCTCTAACATGAACTGTTCGAAAACGTAAACCCTGCTATTCTCAATTAGTTCACGTTTTTGAGACTACACTGTATCTCAAAAGCAAAAAAAAGGAAAGCCGGAGGAATTCTGATTTTTGAATTTTTTTTCCAACTTCCTGTACATTTTGAAATATATACATTCTTTTATCTTGAAAATATTAAACAACATCACGCACTCTCTATAAGCATACAAAAAAAAAAAAAAAATAACATAGGTAATTAATGTGTTGAATATTTCTATGTTATTTGTTTTAACCTTTCATACCAAAAAGAAAATAATATCAGTACAACTGACACTTGCCCAAGAATTTTATACAATTTGTGGGTTACAGTTTTTTTTGTTAAGTTTTAATATAAGCTGGAGTTAAGCTGGGTTTATACAGGAAATAAAATAACATAAAATAAGAAATAAAATAAAATTAAAAGATGGCCTTAAGAGAACCCACGGTGGCGTTTATACACAAAAATAAAATAAGATAACAAATAAGCAAAAATTAACTTCTTATTTTATTTTTTGTGAAAATGCTATTTGCGCATGTCACGACGTCGACTAGATTAGACCGATGACAGTTCAGGCGCATGGTGATTGGTTCAAAATAATTCTAATTTTATTTTATATTTTTCTGTATAAACGCCTTATTTCTTATTTTGCTTATTTGTTATGTTATTTCTTATTTTATTTTATTTTATTTCCTGTATAAATCCAGCTTTAATATACACCTTTTTATATAAAACTGAGCTAGTTTCTCTCCATCTATCCACCCTACACCCCCGTCACAGAGAGGCTGTGACATATTTGGAAGCGAATAATTATAATTTCAATTTCAGAATATGCAATAACATCAAATTAAAAACTTTACAAATTGGTTAAGATTGGAGGGTAGTAGTATGTATACATATAACTACCGAATTCATAAATTACTTAGATGCTTGGCAAAACTAAAATAAAAATTTGTCAACTACCTACAAACACAAAGTTGAGAAAATACTTAGCCAGTTTTCTTGCCAAATTTTAAATTAATAATAATGTAGGAACTAATTGCTTTGCTGTCGGTTTTATTTTCATCACTTATTTTATAATGCAAGCAACTTGCAGGTCTAGCTTCCCTATCATTTTCAGTTGACAAACTCAACGTGCGATGAAGCTTTTTCAAGCACCTTGTAGGTAAAAGCAATTGATATAAACAATTATTGCCCCCAAATCTACCCTGCCAATCCAAATTCTCATTCTCATTATACTTCAGAAATCAAAATCAATTTTTTTTTGTCAACATTAAACAATTCAAAACATTGGGGTTTTGAGTTAAGTCTACTGCAATATGTAAATCTGCTTGAAAACACAGAACCTACCTATTTTTAATGTTTTCTTATAGGTTTCGAAGTGCAAAAGTGAATTGAGTGAACGTAAAAAACGTGAAGATTCTCGTAAAAAAGCTCTGGAAGCTTTTACAAAAACAAATAATAAATCTCCTCCACCTCCTACTCCAGAACATAAGCAATATTTGTCCAGAGTAAAAGATGCCAGGATTAAATTTAAACAAGAATTCGCAGATGTCAAAAAGTCAGGTAAAGTTTTCACAAACTACAACAATAATAATCATTAATATTACTTCATTATTTTTTTAGACATCAAGCCACATTTAGACAAAAGCAAGGAACCAGACCTAAATAATTTTGTCTCCGAATATGATTTGAAATTATTTAGAGATGCCCAAGCCATAGCTAGTGAAAAAATTGAAGAAGAATTAAAAATTTTACCAAGCACAAAAGGTAATGTTTCTTTATATGTTTTATAAATTCCTTAACAATCAAACAAATTTAGGAACAAAATCAATCGAAATGGGCAAATTTCAAATGGAAGTTTGGTATCAAAGCCCCTACCCAGAAGACTATGCAAGATTGCCAAAATTGTACATTTGCGAATTTTGTTTGAGATATATGAAATCGAGGACTATTCTAGGTAGACACATTATAAAATGCGTTTGGCGTCATCCGCCTGGTGAAGAGGTTTATAGGAAGGACAAAGTCAGTGTTTGGGAGGTAAGAACTAGCAATCTATAAACAATAGGTAATCAATAATAATTGTGGAATTTTGTAATCGTGTCAAAAGCATTATGCAATCCACTTTCCACAAACTAGTGAGTTTGAAAAAACACTAACTCATATACTACTGGTTGGACACATAGGCTTCAATAGGATCAGTTCACAGATACCCATTTCACTGCAGAATCGTCATGGTAGATCATTGAGCGTCCCTGCATATATTAAGATTCGGGCATATCCGGCAGCTTGGCAGTACCGCCAAATGCATTATTGCTGCCTCTACCAATTTTTATCTCCATACAGCCTAGTTTTCCAGAGAATTTTTGAAAGTTTCTTTTGTTATACATCCCCCCCTGGCAATTATTCGTCTAGTGAAGTGGAGATTTGTGCTTGTTATTTGATACTGTGATTAAAGAATCTTTCATGTGTGAGCAAGAGTAATCTATGATTTTTGATGAACTTTGGATTATTCTTGTCGCTCACTTCAAGTGGATTTTTAAATTAAGGGCATCTATTATTATTGTCACGGCTTTGGATTGCCTGACAGAAATCTTGGGTTCGTTTCGTTTATTCCAAAAATCAAAGTCCAATTAACACAGCAATAATTTATTCCATGTAACAATACACTTTGACACTAATTACTTTAATAACTAACTCAACAATTAAACTCTTTACAACAAATCACTATTTAAATCGTATCACAGTCGAACTGAAAACTTAACTTACAAACCAATGCCGGCCTTCTTATACCGGGTGTTCCGAAACTATTGTGCCAAAAATTGAGGAATGATAGATCTCACCAAAATAAACTTTTCTTACCTATAAACCCATAGGCGCATGCGCTTTGGTTAGGTGATAATAGCGCATTACAGTCCGCACTGTGGTAGCCACCTTGCACACAGAGAAACGTGTTTCAATAAGCAGAACCTGTGTTATTACATAATACAGAACCCAAAGAATGCTTGCAATATTTATTTAAAATAATGATTCACATCAAAAGATGCTCAAAACTACGACCACCCGCCTCAATTCATGTGTAACAGCGTTGTAGCAGAAATATCGAGTAGATTTCTGCAGAAAACCCTTCCCGAAACTGTTTCCCTGTATGCCAGTTGAAACATAGGGTACCAACATGACAGACCACCACCACATTACTTGTTAGCCTTGAGAGAACATCTCAACAAAACATCTGGAAAGAGTGATTGTTAAGGGGGCATGGACTCCACGTTCACAGGACCTAACGGAATGCGACTTTTTTTTATGGGGTCATATGAAAGCTCTTGTTTACAACACCAGTTGAAACAGCTAGAGGAAGTTAGTAGGAAGGATTGTTGCAGCAGCTGCTGAAATTCTCGAAATACCATGAATTTTTCAACATGTTCAGGAGGCTATGCTACGGCGCTGTCACACACGTATGGAGGTGGGTGGTCGTAGCTTTGAGCATCTTTTGCTGTGAATCATTGTTTTTAGTAAATACTGCAAGCATTCCTTGGGTTTTGCATCATTTAATAACACAGTTTCTGGTTCAAACACGTTTCTCCTTGTGTAAGGTGGCTACCACATTGCGACCTGTAATGTTCTATTATCACATAACCAAAGCGCATGCGCCTATGTGTTTATAAGTAAAAAACGTTTATTTTGGCGCGATCTATCATCTCTTAATTTTTGGCACAATAGTTTCGGAACACCCTGTATATTCCTAAATCTATTCCTGTAAAATCTAGAATACACACGAAAATCTTATTTTCCCTATTAAACTAGAATAATTCGCTAGATTCTAGTATATTCAAGAGGGAATGCCAAAGATTCTTGACAGCCTGGCGAACGCCACATTGCCCTCCTCTTAAGGTTGATCGTCCCGATCAACTCCACGCCCATGATATTTCGTTAACCTGTCCAGATGTACAACTTTCATCTTACTCCTGGTGTTGCGTTGAACTCGATAAACCAAATCATTGATCCTCTTGATTACTTTGTAGGGTCCTTCTCATGCTGAAGATAACTTCGGCGACACTCCTTTCTTTCTTGCTGGATTATACAACCACACTAAATCACCTTCTTGAAATCCGGCCGAATTGGCTTTCAAGTCGTATCTGGTTTTCATTCGGTCACTGGCTAGCTGAATGTGTTCCCGGGTAAGTTCGTGTATTCCCAGAAGTCGTGCCCTTACTTCGTTGGCATAATCTCGAATTTCTTTTCGCTCCTCTTCGGGTACTCCAAACATCAGATCGCAAGGTAACCTGAGTTCCCTTCCAAAAACGATTCTAGCTGGACTTTCACCTGTTGAAACGTGAACAGCTGCTCTGTAAGCCATTAAAAATAGTGGCAAATGCTTGTCCCAATCTCGCTGGTTCCTTGCGACCACTTTTGTCAGATGTTCCTCTATGGTCTTATTGAATCGTTCCACCATGCCATCAGATTGAGGGTGTAAAGGTGTTGTCCTTGTCTTACGAATGCCCATGATCTCACAAATTTTCTTAAATATGGCAGATTCGAAGTTTCGTCCCTGATCGGAATGGAACTCTAGTGGCACACCATGACGACTGAAAACTTCGTCCACTAGCACCTGGGCAACAGTAATGGCTTCTTGATTGGGAATAGCGAAAACTTCTGGCCATTTACTGAAGTAATCCATGATAACTAAGATGTATTTATTACCTCGCTCTGACTCTGGGAACGGTCCGGCTACATCTATCGCTATTCTTTCAAATGGAAGACCGACGTTGTACTGTTTCATGGGCCCCCGAGATCTTAGTTTAGGGCCTTTACTGGTAGCACAGATGTCGCATTTTTGGCACCAGCTTTTAACGTCTTCATGGTAGTGAACCCAGTAAAAACGTTCCCGAATTTTGTCCAAAGTCTTGTTAACTCCGAATTGTGCCCCTGAAGTTCCGTCGTGTATTTCTTTTAATACATCTTCCACACCGATAACCAGTTAGCTCTTAGTGGATTTCCCATCGGCACTTTCCCAAACTCTTTTGAGCAAACCATTTTCTACGGCCAGAGAGTTCCACTGGGCCCACAACGCCTTGTAAATCAAGCTCTTGTTTGACACGTCCCTCCATTCTGGCCTACATTCATCATTTTCTTTAAGATGTAGAATTTGTCCGATGTCCTGGTCTTAGTCTACAATCCCATTGCATGTGTCCAAGCTTTCGGCACCGGTAACATTTTACTTGGTTTCTCGGTGTTGGTGTTTGTTTGGAGTCGTTTCCCAGTTGTTTATCTTCTAGTAATAGTAATAGTTTCTTCATCTTCTCCGTGAACTTACTCATAAGATTGTTGAAGCTACCATCTTCTTTTAACGTTTGTTCATCCTTTGGGTCTTGAATGGACACTGCTCGTATTCTGGGTGTTGAAGCACCAAAGATTGCTCCCAATTCTAATGCTCGGACAAGGGCTTCGCTACTTTTCCTGAACTTGGACATTCTTAGGTTTTCCTGGAGCTTGGAATCCCGGAGACCATCAATAAACGCAGATACTGCCATCCATTCCTGCATGTCTTCCCCAGCTGCAGGAAACGCCAAACTCACAGCCTTTTAACTTCCGATTCGAATTCTTGTAGACTCTCGCCGGGTTTTTTAACTCTTGATTTAACTTGAGTTCTGAATACTTCTTGTCTGTAATGGTCTCCGAAGCGCAATTCCAAAGTCTGACTTAGATGCTGGTAATTCTGTTGGTAGACTAAAGGAATGGACTGAAGAAGGTCTAAGGCAGGTCCTCGTAGCGCCACTATCAGTGCTGTAGCTTTTTCTTGATCGTTCCATCCGTTGGTATTTGCAGCAGCTTCAAATTGTCGAATATACATGGTCCAGGACGTAGAACCGTCAAAAGTTGGTGGTTTTATCTTTATACTGGAGAATGCTCCAAGACTAGCTGGATTGATGGACTGTATTTCTAATCTACGCATCTTATCTTCGAGTGCTTGAACTTGGTCCTCAACTTCTTAATTGCTGAACATCGGCTTTGACCTCAGCTTTTACTCCCTGAACGTCGTTTTTAACTTCTCTGACATCGTCTTTAACTTCTTGAACATCGATTTTGACTTCAGTTTTTACTTCCTGGACGTCGTGTTTAACTTCTTGCACATCGTCTTTAACTTTTTCAATCTTTTGGTCTAGGTTAGCGACAGTTCCTTGTATGGTTTGGAATACCTTCTGCAGTTTTCCAAGGTCTTCTTGCCGTCCTTGTTGTCGCCTAGCTTCTTCTTGTTTTTCTTTTTGTCGCCTGAGTTCTTCGTCTTGTTTTTCTTTTTGTCGTCTGGCCTCTTCGTGTTGTCGTCTAGCTTCTTCGTCATGCTTTTCTTGTTGTCGTTTGGTCTCTTCAAGTTCCAACATTTTGCGCAGAAGTTCTTCAACTTTTTGTTCGTCCATTTTGGCTTGTTGTCTTGTGATAGGCATATACAGAATGTTCTAGAATTTTCTGGTCTTTGCTCGAAGTTCCAAACACGCCGGTGAAGTCACAAATTGCATAACTTGCTTTATTCTAGAATAGAATGTTCTGGAACTTTCCTGAAACCTCCCCTCTAGATGTCGATTGATACAGCAAACACGCCGGTGAAGTCACAATTCCGATATCTCCCTTGGTTTCCAAATAGAATGTTCTAGAATTTTCACGAAACTCCTCGAAAAACTTTTTGTGAATGACGATTGATGTTCCGAATACGTCGGCGAAGTCACAAATTCGATATCTCCCTTAATTTCCAAATAGAATTTTCTAGAACTCACTCGAAGATTCACTACACAGTCAAAATCGGGTACAGAGTCACTTCCGGAGTAATTTACACGATCGGTTAAGTCTCTTTTTGTGATTGTCACTGTTTGCACTGAATAACTGTCCCAGTGTTCACTTAGTGTTCAGTTTTTACACTACACTAGTGTCCCCGCACTTCCGCAATTGGATTTCACTCTGCAGTCCTTTATGTCTCACTTCTGGCACCAATTGTCACAGCTTTGGATTGCCTGACAGAAATCTTGGGTTCGTTTCGTTTATTCCAAAAATCAAAGTCCAATTAACACAGCAATAATTTATTCCACGTAACAATACACTTTGACACTAATTACTTTAATAACTAACTCAACAATTAAACTCTTTACAACAAATCACTATTTAAATCGTATCACAGTCGAACTGAAAACTTAACTTACAAACCAATGCCGGCCTTCTTATATATTCCTAAATCTATTCCTGTAAAATCTAGAATACACACGAAAATCTTATTTTCCCTATTAAACTAGAATAATTCGCTAGATTCTAGTATATTCAAGAGGGAATGCCAAACATTCTTGACAGCCTGGCGAACGCCACATTATTAATGAAAAGTCCTTTCTCGGCTTATTTGGACTTTATTTTATAAAATATCTAAATCAACAGCAAACGTTTCGACGCATTCCGCGTCATTCTCAAGGCTAGATATTATTATTATTATTATTATTATTATTATTATTATTATTATTATTATTATTATTATTATTATTATTATTATTATTATTATTATTATTATTATTATTATTATTATTATTATTATTATTATTATTATTATTATTATTATTATTATTATTATTATTATTATTATTATTATTATTATTATTATTATTATTATTATTATTATTATTATTATTATTATTATTATTATTATTATTATTATTATTATTATTATTATTATTATTATTATTATTATTATTATTATTATTATTATTATTATTATTATTATTATTATTATTATTATTATTATTATTATTATTATTATTATTATTATTATTATTATTATTATTATTATTATTATTATTATTATTATTATTATTATTATTATTATTATTATTATTATTATTATTATTATTATTATTATTATTATTATTATTATTATTATTATTATTATTATTATTATTATTATTATTTTGTCCAATAGCAGGCGGTAGAAACCGATGAGGCTATTGCCAAATTGTCTAAGTACACGTATTTGACGTATTGCACTCTAAAAGAGAAGGCATTCTCAAAAAACTATTTCTATGGTCCATAATGGACTAGTCTTGGATACCTCCCGCAGACCCTTGGGGAACTCGGGTAACAACTGGATATTTCGCTGTGAAGGTTCCATTTACTTTCACACAATAAAATCTATTTGTAAGAAGTTAGTGAATTAAATCTAGAAGTTTGCCCCTCACGCCATAGTTCTCCCTCCAATTTATGCAAAAGCATTGTGGAACCTTATCAAGGGCTTTCTCAAAATTTAGGTATATAACGTCTGTTGGTTGTGATCAAGGCAAGTTAGCAGATTTGTTGTAGTGGATCGTTTTGAAATAAAGCTATGTTGCGTTGGTGTTATTACGTTGTTGTCAACAAAAAATGCAGTCAGATCTTCAACAATAATTCTCTCCATACACTTACAGGGATTACATGTAAGGCTGAAAGGCCGGCAGTTCGCTGCTAAGTTCCTGTCTTCCTTCTAGGGTACACTTTAGTTGTAGTTTTGAAAGATCTTTGTTCATCTTATCAATGTTATAATCACCAGCAAAGAAATTTGGATTTCATATAGCCAGTAGGGGGGCTTTTCCATTTCGTCTAACATTACTTCGAGTCGTTCAGGTTTATGTTTTATTAATTGAATATTCAGTGATAGGATATTCAGAGAAGGGTTAGAATTTTCTGTGTGTGCAGCTTGGACGCTTGATTTAAAAAAAAATGTTGATTATTGGATTGGTAGCTGTGCGCTCAGAATATTGTTGCTGTTTGCTTCCGTTTGAAAAGGGAATACTTCAACCTCTGCGTCATCATCTATTGTTTCACTCACAACACCATCATTATCATCATCATCGTCTCCGAGGCTGATTGAGCTTTGCTTTTGCCTTCTGTTCGTGATGAACTCTCTATGGTAATTTATTAGCTCTTGCTTATTTGTGTATGTCAAATATCTGTTAAAATTGTCATAAAATCTTTCAGAGTTTATGAGTATTACTCTTTTTCTAAAGTCTTTCAATACATGGGAGATTTTTTTGCTGATGCAAGATATTGTTTAAGATTGGCTTATTTATGGGGGGATATGAGTAGGGATGTAAAATGATGGTCATTTATTTTTTGTGATAGGTGACAGTAACTTTTTTTTTGTCATTTTTGTCATTTATTGTATTCAATGTAGAACATAACATAACTCAAACCAATAATCAGATATCTGATTGGTTGACTAAAGTTCTTCTTTAGTTTCACTAGCTTTGTTCCAACTGACATGACAACCGTTCTAGAACGGTAATTTCCAGTTGCCCACATATTTTTCCATAATTTGAACGTTTATCCTAATTAACAAATGAATTGATCAACTGGAAATTACTGTTTTATACCTTTTCAACTTCAAATTGGGACTAAACAACTTTAAGTTTGGGAACTAACAAAATTAAAGTGGGAATTAACAATATCAACTTCAAATTCCGACTATCAATTTTGATTTGGGAAAAAACAAATTCAAATTGGGAATAGACTTATTCAATTTAGGTATTAATGTAAATAACAGAATGCTAGTGAACAGAATCAATATAATAATACAAAAGGGAATTTGGATAGTAACACTCATAGTATGTTTTTATACTAAATATAACTTTATTATATTTTATAATTACATACAACATTTCATAAACAAAAATTAAAAGTTGTAAGTATTTATTTAGCAAGACAACTAAAAACAAACACTATATAAATTTGCAAATCAGCCATGTTTAGCGCATCCGGAATAAATCGTTGAATATGCGCTACACGTCTGGCACAGTTATTTACTCAAATTCGAAGAAATATTCCATAGTTCTATGAGAGACTTGAATGTAATCGAAAGGAAAAACAAACTCAAACTTAAAGTCTCAAATACCTATATGAATATTATTTATATTAAAATTTATATTTGGTATAAAAATATAGTATGAGATCTCATTGTATTTCTATCCAAATTCCCTTTTCCATTAATACATATTGATTCTGTTCACTAGCAATACCTAAATTGAATAAGTTTCTTCCCAAATCCAAATTGATAAGTCGCAATTTGAAGTTGATTAGTACCAAATTGAATATGATTATTTCCAATTTGATATTGTTAATAATTCCCACTTTGATTCTGTTAGTTCCCAACTTGTTTAGTCCCAATTTGATGTTGAAAAGGTATAGAACGGTTCTCGTGTCGGTTGGAACAGATCATTTTCATTTTGACTGTGACATGACATTGATAGAAAGAGTGGCTTACATCCCTAGATACGAGGCTAACATTTGCCCTTAATAGTATTGATCTTGCTGAGTATCTCATCATAGGGTACTTGGCTTCTTTCCTTTCTTTGTAAGAGTTATATCTTCTTTAAACAATCAAAGGTTAGCTTGGCAATACTTATCTAATTCCTCTTTTTTGTAACACCGGAAGACTAAAACAGCTATTTTGTACCAGATCGATTAAAACATTTCATATTTATCTTCGGAAGACTGAACAGGACGGGCTGATATCTTTCCACGGAAATGTCCAGTTTCAACCATAAAAAATCCAGAGGAACAAACTTGGAGGGCTCTCTGTAACGTGTAAAGGTTTTTGAAGTACCTATTGAAGTGTTTTTTTTTTTTAAATTGTAAATTTGATATGGCGGATTGAAATGTTCTGTCAAGACTATGTTGCGCACGGACATTCTAAGAATGTTCAATATGATCCTAAGCACTAACAAATACGTACCAGAGTCACAGCTTTATCCGTTTATCTGGCCGACATTGCATATTTTATCGTTGAGCCAACTTCACCTTTAATTGATTGGTGGAGGGTTGTCAGTCATATCCTGGTGTCATCTGTCAACCTAACTCCATTTGAAATAATATTTCAACTTTAATTCCTATGAATGCGACATTTTTGACTTCTTGTGCAAGAAGAGCCTGTCATTTTTATTCAAAACTGAAGAATAGAAACTTTACGTACGCTTTTCTTCCAATTTTCCTAAAAATTCCAGGAATTATTTATAAATTATTATAGGGCACTCCTGATTCGTGAAAGGGCTAGATTTTATTCTCAGTGAAAGAAGGCAGGAATATGGTCACACGTATAGATCCAGAAAATAATAATTGTTTTTAGTTAGTTTTTTTTTTTAATTTTTCTTGTTTTTGTGCTTGACAAATGAAATATCCATAAAATGCATGTGACCAAAATGTACTCTTTTATCGTGTCTTATTGGTTGTCATTTCTTTTCCAATCAGCAGGTACTTACTGATTGTTGGTAATGTTTGTATCCATTGAACGCATGTCATGACTAAATATTTTTTGGTTTCTTGAGCTACTGATTCAAAGATTCTGTCTAAATCATTTTTTTTTTTTAAATTTCAGGTAGATGGCAAAAAGTATAAACAATACTGCCAAAACCTTTGTCTACTCGCAAAATTTTTTTTGGATCACAAAACCTTGTACTATGATGTGGAGCCTTTTCTGTTTTACATTATGACATTGGTGGACAATGAAGGATGCCATACTGTGGGATACTTCAGCAAGGTAAATTAATTTTTTTTCCTAATCCGTTACTGTAACGTAATTTCATGGTCAGAAGGGATTCCGACCTGGCGAATGTCGTAAAAGCTAAGAAATTTATTACCTTGCATTGTTTAACGTGCCAAGATTATGAACTTGAGCGTTGAGTTTTCGTCATATTTAAGCTCGTAAAATGCGAAATACGTGTTAACAGAGACACTTGATAATACTTATTGTATATACCCAGCCTTTCATTCATAAAATCTGGCGTGAAACGATTGGACATTGAACCAAAAATAATTGCGTGTAGGATAGAGGCGAAAGATTTTAGACGAAATAAATGTCAAAAGCTAAAGCGAACCTGGCAAGAAAAATCCACGAGGCAACACCACCAATTTTTACTTTCCGTAAATGGTACCATAATGCTACGATTACTATGTAACACGACTTATTGCCAGTGCATGAAAAAACTGCGGTGATATCTGGGAAATCACAAGCTTTCTCAAAAAAGATATAGGTACTTTATAATGCTCGCCTAAATTATTGGGCATTGTAAATCAAATATACTTCTTATAATGCTTGAAATGTTCCCAAAATTTATCAATAAATTAGACAATGATTAAGAAACAATTGTCGTCAAGAGTCCCTAAGATGCCTACCTAATATTAGACCCTAATTTATTTATCTGCCATCTTATGAATGATCTTAGCAGATATTAAAATTTTGTTCTTCGAAAAAGTCAGAGTTTTCTTTAGAAGTAGTTCAAAAATCTTAGAGATGACAGGAATGTTTCCGATGGTTCGATAGTTCTTTTAAGGGTTTGTTTGCTTCCCTTTTTAGGTTCTGTTAGAGAAACTCTGTTTTTTTGCAAAACAGTTTTATTATATTCCTGTTGATATGAAAAATATGACAAGATGTACTTTCACTTTGAAAAAAGATTTGCTATATTATAGTATATAGTAATGTGACACAAAGAAGTAGTTTGAGAATCATTTTTCTAATGTAAAAAGGCTTGTGACATCTATGTAAAATTGATCTTTTTTTTTTTTGGAGTTCTTTCGGACATTCTTGGTGTTTCAGTTTTTAGGCTAGTTGCAAAACATATCATTATGTAGGAAAAATATTGTCCAGTTACAGGCTTTCCATAAAGAAACTCATTCTGGGACCACTTATGAGAGCTTAAGGCAACACGGAAATACGCGCATTCATGATGGCCCCAGAAATGGGTCCTAATGAATATAAAATAAATTATCCTACTGCTTCAACTATTGAAATTATTTAATTAACTTTACATTAGATCGAGCATTAGATATTTGATTTTTGTTTTCATATAAAATTCAATAGAGGGGAAACTGTTGTAATGTCACAATTCCTTCCACGTTTTTGACAGAAATATTAGTTATCGCGAATGTGGACACTTTTTTAAGAATTTAGTTTCAGGTGCACGGGCGCTGAAACTATAATCCGCTCATAAAGTCTACAGACTCAATCAAGTGCGTGATCTGAGGTTTTGGACGCTGATTGGCCAAATTTAGAGAGTAGACTTGGGCGACCAGCCAGCGCTCAATTTAAACGATTTAACTTGTGGCCTCTTGCCAATCAGCGTCCTCCATCTCCGATCAAGCATTTCTCTTCAGTCTATAGACTTCATGAATAGAATTTATGCAGTATGAAGTTCAGTTATGTCACCGGAAATATTTTGTTGCAATTGACTGAACAGCATGCCACAAGAGTTCCACTGCCATGGCGTCGCATTTTATTACTGAAGTTCGCAGATAGGAAATTGAAGGTTTTCAGTACATTCACATCCAATATAAACTCATCTATTTCTAATCGGAACATCCTATACGGGATCCAAAATACCATGGGTCACCATTGGTATATCGGAAACGGTAAAAGATACGAGGGCGATTAAATTTCATAGAAAAAAGTACCTCTATCAAGTAAGCAATACCACATGCTAGCCGGAAAATGACGTTAAGTGATTATTATGTCACTTTTTTGTGGTAAAAAAAATGTCGCCTGTGATAGGACAAGAATTGCTGAAAATTTCAACTTTCTATCTATAATGGAAAAAAAGTTATGACCTTTCAAAGTTTTCAGAAATCTATTAGCATTCGGCTATTCCTATAAGACCCAGTAGGCTTAATCCACTTGGCATCACATTGTGCAGCTGACATCCAACAGGAAATCATAATTCAACCATTTCTCGCCGGCATTCGGAAGTGCCCCACTGCTACACTTACCTTAAATAGTATAATCGTGCAAAAAATGAGATCCCAACCTATTATGGCGGACGGCTTCCCCAGGGGACACCAATTACCAAAAACAAAATAATAATAATAAAACCACGAATTGTTGTCCTAGATGTCAGTGAAACGCAACTTCAATTGGTAAAAAATGGTAATCATTAAAAGAGGAAGTTATTGAAAACATTTACAGCCAAATGCTCAAAGCCCAATACCAAACTTGCTCAACTTGAAGCAGCTTACCAAAGTTCTGATTTCTGTACCTATCACATCTAAAAAAAAACAGATGGTAAATTCCTTTGAAAAGTTCATAAGTGCATAAAGAGACTTTTCTAGGACCTGTGACGTAACTGAAGGGCAGGATCAGAAGGCTATAAATAGTTGTTGGTACTTACGAAATTTCATAATTTGTACATTAATCAATTATTAGAAAATTCGTTCAAGAATGCTCACTAAACTCGAAATGCTTATATAATTATTATTTTTTAATAGCTTATTCCTCCATGGTAAATAGTCCACTGCCGAATGACGAATAAATAGACCGGATTTTTTTTTTCGTTAATTACTCAATGACTTATTGGCCTGAACACGTCGCGCGGAATTTTTCAAAAAGTCAAAAAAAAAATTAAATTGTCGCACAGCGCTGAAATTTGGTACGATGGCTTTATTTATTGTTATTATGAATATACTGCAATTATAATTGTTTCACATGACTGCTGCAACAATTAAAATTGCAGTATATTCATGAGAACAATAAATAAAGCCATCCTACCAAATTTCAGCGCTGTGCGACAATTTTAATTTTTTTTGACTTTTTGAAAAATTCCGCGCGACGTGTTCAGGCCAATAAGTCATTGAGTAATTAACGAAAAAAAATCCGCTGGGGCAATATGAGAGGAATAAATGGGCTGCCGATTGTCGAAAACTGACACCAAATATTTGGCCCCGTTTAGAAATTACAGTGAATGCAAGAAAGGAGTAGTTTTCGATGCAATTTACTACTTCCTCGCACATTAGGCAAGTCCGTGCTCGCTTAATTTTCAATTAAAAAATTCGAACAAAAAAACATTGGAGAGTGCATTTCATTAGCAATAATGTGGTGTATGAAAAATTGAAATCGGATTATGCATTTGGCCGCTACTGCATCAAATGCGCGCAAACACGTGAAACGTTGATTCAGTGACCTTGAATAAAAACATGCTAGTATTCAAGACGCTGCAGAAAAAAAACTATAGAAGATAGAAGGGTGCTGTAGTGCTGTCGCTGAGTTTATTATACCAAAAAACTTCAGCTACAACAATCATTTGAAACTTTTTGCTATCGGACCATCCCTTTGAGCAGCGTTCTCCATAAACCGCAAATTACCCCTAAAAACCACCCTTAACTAAAAACCCTATGGAAGTACAAGGTCGCAAACTTAATATGTTATTAAGCACATGAAAATGAACCGATCCCCCCCAAAAAATGTAAACTTCTAATTTGTGTTGAGGTAAACTTCCTTCATTGCTGGCCTAATAGTGATGATTCAGTATTCAGTAATTAGGTAGAATATTGAGATAAATAAATCCTTGCTGAAATGCACGAAACATCAATTTCAGATTGTTTCGAAAATGTGTTGAAAAACCTGGAATAATTCTGATTTTGAGATTTGAGAATGATCGTTATTCAAGCGGCAAAAATTACCAAAACAATTATCATAATTTTTTTATGTCGTATCGTATTTAAGAAAAAAAACGCGACAAATTTTAGAGACATTCGTTAAATTTGAAAATTGTATATTTTTTTTGCTCTACAAAATGGTGTTTCGTAGTGTTAAATCCGACGTTTCGTCTTCAGGATACCATCATGAACTTCAAATACGGACCTAGATTTTTTATTTAATATTTTGAAAGTAAATTTAATTTGCAATCTAACTATGTGTCATGCATTATATTTCCCAACCTTTCAGTAGAAAAATCCATTACCAAGCATATTTTTTTAGTTTAGATTTTTAAAGTAGAATTTGCATACTTAATAACTTACAATACATTTACAATGTTTTAAAAACTGTCTAATTTAGAATATTGTCCTGTTTAAATAATGTGCCTAAAATTTACTGAGGATTCCAAAAGTACCTGACAGACAAAAACGTCAAATAGGGCGGTGAAACAATCAGTGATCCCGGATCACCCTGCACGTACATCTAGGTCCAAATATGGTTATTCATAAATCATTCGAATTTACTACAAACCAGTTTAAGTAACATCTATATTGAGATATGCACATAAAATGTACAAATGTTCTATGTATTTTTAATCATCCTAGGAATTTGACCTTAAAATGTCGTTCAGAAACTCATGTACCTACAATTTACAGTTTCTGTGTACTATCTTCCCACGCGCTGTGTATTTATGAGAATTGATAGATCTGCGGACGTCACTAGAATAATCTGCCGTGATTCATAGAGAATAATTAAACAGTAAACTGGTTTGTCTGTTTAAAGTATTATTATACTTACGTCCTACAGAGACGGATTAAGAGCCGTTTAAACAGTCGAATCTGCGTCATTATTGGGACCCGATAAATATGATTTCAGGATTTGTCTTCAATATCCAGAAATTATGTCAGAGTGTAGGAGAACCTAAAGTTAGGTTTCTAAGCATTAATTAATCACCTCATTTTTGGGATACATTGTATACTCTCTACAGGGTGTTCATTTTAAAACTTACCATCCCTATTATCTCGGATTTGAAAAGTTTTCGAAAAAATTCCTGAAACACGTCAACTATAATTTGA